TCGGCGGCCGAGGCATGTCCGCGCACTGGGGCCTGGCTGCCGCTGTGCGCGCGGACGATTCAGCAGGGCCTCCAGCGCCCCGTGGACGCCCCCCCTTCCGCCCCGCCAGCTCAGCGCGCCGCTGCTGGCGGGCTGAGGGGCTGCGTGGGTGCTGGGGGCCGCGGGTCGATCCGTGCGGGAGATACTCAGCCCTAGCTTCCACAGCGGCTCTCGTCAAGGTCCCTGGCGCGAGCTTGTCCCCTCGCCCCTGCCGCGGGCCGCAGGGCCCGAGCGGGGCGGGGGCGGGGCGGGCCCTCGGGCGCCCGAGCGGCCTTCCTGGCCCTGGGGGCCTGAGCTCAGTTCGAGCGCTTCGGGTGCCGCGCCGACTCTCGAGGCGGAGGCGGCGCCTCCCCTGCCGGCAGGCGTGTGCCACCCCAGCGATGCCGCCACGGCCCCACAGGGAGAAAGGCGCCGCTTAGAGGCTTCAAGATCTTAGGCGCACTTACGAGCTACCTATAGCTGGGTGTAAGTTACTTCTGTTCTGTGTTAAGTAACAGTATATGTTGAGTATGTTCCCTAACTAAGGCATATGTTTTTAAGTGCTTCTCTTGCGAAAAAAACTTACTTGCGCTACTTCTAACTATTTTCCATCCATCGCCGAGCGGGGTAAGTTACATATATGTACTTGTAAGTTACTTAACACATTTTAGACACCATCACTTAGTATTACTTATAAGTTACTTATAAGTAACTTGTAAGTTACCTCCTTCCCTCCCTCCCTCCCCCTCCCTCCCTCCTCCGCGCCGCGCCGCGCGCCCGCGCCGCGCGCGCAAAAGGAGTGAATTGGGGGAGGTAGCGATGGCGATCGCTTGCATGGGGAAGGAGGAGGAAGAGTTGGGGAGGTAGCGATGGCGATCGCTTGGGGAAGGAGGAGGAGGAGGAGGAGGAGGAGGAGGACGAGGAGGAGGAAGAGGAGTGGGGGAGGCAGCGATGGCGATCGCTTGGGTAACGATGGACGCGGTGACGCGCATGATGACGATAACGACGATGACGATGACGACTACTACGACGACGATGACTACGATACTGGCCATACTGACGACACTGACAACACTGACGATGATGATGATGACGACGATTGCCGACGATCCTGACGATGATGACGACGACTACGGCAATGATGATGACGTCGCTGATGATGACGATGACGACGTTGATGATGATGATGGCGACGACGATGGTGATGATGACAGGCGATGACGATGATGGCGATGATGATGACGATCATGATGATGATGATGACGGCGGTGATGACGGCGATGATGATGATGGCGACGAGGCTGCCTCAGACGACGGTGGCGACGACGATGGCAGGAACTCGCCCAGGACTCCAGAACAAGGACTTCCTTGTGTTGGAGTTGAGGCTATCCACCCTATGGGTGAGAGGACGGCGCCCTCGTCGTCGTCGAGGTTGGTTTGAGGAGGTTTGGGGTTCTTGAGGTTTTGGGTTTAGGTTTTGGATTCTGGTGGTTTTTGGTACGTCGAAGTTGTTTTGGTGAGGTTTTGGTTTCTGGATGTTTTAGGTTTACGTATTGGGTTCTCTCTCTCCCCCGTGCCCCATCATCTCTCCAGTCCCCCATCATCTCTCCCGTCCCCCATCAACTCTCCCGTCCCTCATCGCCTCTCCCGTCCCCCATCGTCTCTCCCGTCCCCCCCTCGGGTGATACAGGAGGTTGGGGCCTCTCGGAGGCGCTTTCGGCCCGCTGGACGGGCGTTCTTGGGAGCGATGGAGATCGCTGGGGCGAGCGGGGCGTGGCTTGGGAGGTAGCGATGGCGATCGCTTGGGCGAAGGGGCGAGGGGGGGTGGGGGCGGGGGTGCACGGGGAGGTAGCGATGGAGATCGCTTGGGCGAGGGGGGCGTGGATTGGGAGGTAGCGATGGCGATCGCTTGGGCGAAGGGGCGAGGGGGGGGAGGTAGCGATGGAGATCGCTTGGGCGAGGGGGGCGTGGATTGGGGGGTAGCGATGGAGATCGCTTGGGCGAGGGGGGGCGTGGATTGGGAGGTAGCGATGGAGATCGCTTGGGCGAGGGGGCGAGGGGGCGGAGGTGATGGGGGGTGGTGGTGGGTGGGTGTGGGGTGGGGGTGGGGGTGGGGGTGGTGGTGGTGGTGGTGGTGGTGGTGGTGGTGGTGGTGGTGGTGGTGGTGGTGGTGGTGGTGGTGGTGCGGTGGTGGTGGGTGGGGGCGCTGGGAAATAGCGATGGCGACCGCTTGGGCGAGGGGGAGTGTATGGGGAGGTAGTAGCGATGGCGATCGCTCGGGAGTGGGTACGGAGGATGGTATAGAGGAGGGGGTGATGAGGCGGAGGATGAGGCTTATTCGACCAGAGAGCGGATGGAAGTGGTGGGTTGGGTGAAGAGCATCAGGGAGGGGGAGGGTTGGGGAGGGGGGGGAGTCGGAGGCGGTGGAGGGCAAAGCGATCTCGATCGCTGCGCGGTCATTGCCGCTAGCTTAGCCGTCCACTGGTTAGCCGTTGCTGGCTCTGGCGGGTGCGCGCGCCCCCGTTGCCGCCGCGCTAGCATCATGGCGGCCATCGCGCTGGCGGAGCAGCTGAAGGCCGCCGCATCGTTCCTCACTCAGCTTGAGAAGGGGAGCAATGCATATAAGGAGGTCGTGACGGCGCAGTGCTGCATGGCGATGAGCGTTATGGAGCCGTGGACCTTCGTCTCCGCCGAGGACTCGGCCGCGCTGATCTTGCAGATCGGCAAGATGCCATTCGGCAAGAAGAAGATGGCCATGCTGCTCGGCCGCATCACGGAGTTAGCCACAACGTCGGCGAATATGCTGGTTGCCAACGCTGCCGCGGGCGCAGAGCTGATGTCGGTGGCCAGGACGCCCATGCAGGACTTCACGTCGATCACATCATACCTGACGGCGGCGCAGTGGGCGGACATACTGGATACGGACAGCGACTTCATGGACCGAGTTGCGGTCATGATGCAGGCGTGCAAAAAACTCGGGTTGCGCACGTTGCATGAGCCGACGATCCAAATGGTGACGTGCACCGCCCTCGCGGTGGAGGGCTTCGAGCGGGCAATGCGCCAGCCCCCGTTGGCCCTGATCGGCTATTTCAAGAGGGCGAAATCGTGCGCCAAGAAGCTCCTCCCGTGGAAGGAGTGCAAGCGCCTCGCCGAGGTGGAGCCGTCGTTCGTCGATAAGCTCCCCGCGGACACGGTTGCCATGCGGAGGGCGCACCGAGACGTCTATTCTCGCGTGTACGCCGAAAGTGGCGATGTCCCAGTCAAGTGCCCGCTGGGCGTCACCCAGCTGCTCGTGTTGAGCGACGCTGTCCCGATGCGGGGGAACAAAGCCCGCCTGAAGAGCTCTCCTGAGCAATCGAGTGTCGACATGGCGCTGCAGCTCGCCGACAGGGCGATTGCGCTGAATCGCGGGCGCGAGGACAGCGGTGCGTTGCGCGACCGCGACGTTCCCTTCAGGCGATACACGCCCAACCAGGCCGAGCCGCCGCCGCTCGCCGACGCGGCGCCCGCGCCCGCCGCGTCGGCCGATGCCAAGACGCCGTCGAAGCACAGCGTGGAGGAGGCAAGGGACAAGATCTACGCGCAGCTGGGGGGCAAGACGCCGAGCGTGTCCCACAAACCGCCGTCGCTGAGCGACAGCGAGTCGGATGACGACGGCAGCGACGACGACTCCGACTCCGAGAGTGGCGCCCCCGCGGCCAGCGCGGCTGGCGATAAGAAGAGGAAGGCCGATGAGGCGAAGGCGGAGGAGGCGAAAGGGAAGAATAAGGAGAAGAAGAACAAACATATCAAGAATAACAAGAAGTCGACGAAGGAGACTGCCGCTGCGGCGAAGGCGGCGGACGATAAGAAGACTAAGCAGAAGAAGAAGAAGAAGGCGAATGTGGGCAAGAAGTCCCCGCAGCCATCGTACTCGGTGAAGTGGTCCCGCGACCAGGTCTTGCGCCGAACTGGCCTTAAAGGTGCAGGCCAGTCGGTTGCATGCAAGTTCGCCGGCTACGGCGGCAGCAGCGACAAGGCGATCTCTGCGGCCAAGAAGTGGGTGGCCACGCAGACGAAGAAGTGCGTCGCGGGCTGATTCGCGCGCTACTGAACGGTGCGGGCGCGATGATGATGATGCTCTTTCGCATCTTGGGATCCTCCGACCCTGCGGCTCGCAGCAAGTCCATCCTCTTGGTGGCAACTGTGGCGGGCCAGCTGTTCGCCCTCGTCCAGCAGCTGGGGATGCTGGGCTGAGCCTGGTCGGCGATAATTCGCGCGCGGGTGCTGCAACGGCGCAGCATGCATGCGTTGTCGAAGACGCCTCGTCGACTACGCCGCCGAGGATGGGGGCGGGAAACATATGGGGGAGGGTAGCGATGGTGATCGCTCGGGGAAGGATGAGGAAGAGTGGGCGAGGTAGCGATGGCGATCGCTCGGGGAAGGAGGATGAGGAGGAGGAGGAGGAGGGGGAGGAGGAGGAGGAGGAGGAGTGGGAGAGGTAGCGATGGCAATCGCCTGGGGAAGGATGAGGAAGAGTGGGCGAGGTAGCGATGGCGATCGCACGGGGAAGGAGGAGGAGGAGGAGGAGGAGGAGGAGGAGGAGTGGGGGGGTAGCGATGGCAATCGCTTGGGGAAAGGAAGAGGAGGAGGAGGCGAAGATGGCGGCGAAGCGATGGTGGCAACTTGGATGGGGGACGGGGTGCTCTCAGGACGAGGGGCGAAGCGACTGCGATCGGATGGGAAGGGAAGGGGAGACGGGTCGGCAGTGGGAGGCAGATGGGGCGGGGGGAAGCGATTTCGATCGCTGGCATTGCGCGCGCATTGCACATAGCATTAATCGCACGCGTTGTCATAGCCATTTTTGGCTCACAGGCGCGCCGCCCGCCCGCCCGCCCGCGGCTGCGGCTGCGGCACCTGCGGCGCGCCTGCGGCTGCGCCCGCCCTGGCATGGCGTCGGACGCCGCGGCGAACGCCGCGGGCGCGTTCTTCCAGGCCGCCAGCGCGTTCGACGCGTTGCTGGGCGCGGACGCGGACGCGGCCGAGCGCGCGCGCTATGCAGCTGCCGCCGTCGAGGGGCAGGAGGCGGAGGCCGCCGCTGAGGGCGACGCGCAGGCTGCCGCTGCGGGCGCTGAGGAGGCGGAGGAGGCGGAAGGGGGCCGCCCACGAGGAGGCGGCTGCCGCTGCGGGTGCTGCGGAGGCCGCCCACGAGGAGGCGGTGGAGGCGGAGGTGGTGCTGTCGATCAGCATCGACTCCGGGGACGAATGCGCCGACGCTGCCCTGGCGGCGGTGTCCGAGCCGCGGGGCGAGAGCAGCGGCGCGGCCGTGTCCGAGGCCCCGATCTCGGGCGGCTCGGTCCAGAGCTCGAGGTCGGCCGACGGGGGCTCCCTGGGCGGCGCGCCGTTGACCATCGAGGTCGGCCGCCGCGTGCGGCCGAGGACAGCGGAGCCGCCGAAGAGTGCGCCACCCGCCTACGCTTCGGTGGAGGTGTCTGCCGCGTCGCACGCGGCGTGCGCGGGGGCGCCGCCGTCCTCGAGCGCAGGCAGCGCGCGCGGCCTGGCTCCAGCGTGCGCTGGCGTCCCCACCCCGCGGCCATCATCGCAGGTGCGTCCTGCGCGCCCGTTCGTGGCCGTGCCGTCGCAAGTGCGCCCTGCAGGCCCCGCGCCGTCGCAGGGGGTGCGCCCTGCCGTGCAACCTGCGCCGCATGCGGAGCCGACGGAGGCGGATCGGGCACAACAACAGGTACACGCCCGAGGACTTCGAGGACCTGCGCGCGGAGGCGGCGGTGGCGAAGAGCATGGGGCTCTCATGGGCTCAGCGCGGCCCCGTCGGCCCAGACGAGGGCGGCCCCATGACGTGGCGCGGCCAGAACTACCGCTGGAACACAGGGAAGTGGGCCAACAGGGGCGGCAAGAACAAGGCGTACTTCGCGGCGAAGTACGGCCGCGGCGCCTTCGGGCCAGGGATGCGCCCCCCTGGGTCGCACCCGCAGGTGGCGCCGCCGCAGGTGCACCCGAAGACGGCGCCGACGCAGGTGGTGCCGCCCCCGCGGGTGGTCCGCCCGCCGCCACGCGGGGCGCGGCCCGCGGCCGCCGCCCCCGCGGCCGCCGCCCCCGCCGCCGTGCCCGCGGCCGCCGCTCCCGCGGCCGCCCCGTCGACCGTGGCGAAGCGGCCGCCGCCGACGCGGTTTCTGTGAGGCCGCGTGCGTGCTGCGCTCGCGGCCCGCCTGCGGCTGCCCTCGGCCGCTGCGGGCCCGCCCTCGCCCGCGGCTCGCGGCCGCCTGCTCGCTGCCGCTCCGATCGGTTGCACAGGGAATGGGTGGCGAGCCCGCCGCGCCGCCCCGCCGAGCTCGGCGCCGAGCTCGGCCCCCCCTGCGCCCTGCCGCCCTCGGCCGCGGCTCGCGCCCGCGGCCCGCGTGCTGGCATCAGCTCGCGGCCGCTTTCCTTCGCGCCGCCCGCGCACGGGCGGCGCGCATAAGAGATCGGGCTCGCCTTGTCGCAGGCGGCCATAGTATAAAATGGCCCATCGTCGTCATCGTCGCCGTCGACGGGTCGCCTTCCAAACTTAATTGGCAGTGTCAACATGTTTTTTTTGGTTGGAGACCTGGGCCCAAAAAAACGCGGATACCTGGGCCTAAAACGGGCACAGCGGAGGGCTCATACTGGCTCCAACACCCTGCATTGGCGTGGCAGTGGCAACATGTTTCATCGGCCCTAAGGGCCCTTGGCCGCAGAAATCATATGGGTCAGTGTCCGATTGTCCCCGTCTCGTCTCTTGTCTTCAATGCGATTCCCGATCGTCGCCAGCGTCGTCGTCATATCGTGTGCGCGTCGTCGCTCCCCCCAGCGATCGCCATCGCTTCCCTGCTCATCGTCGGCGTCATCATCGGCATCGTCGCCGTCGCCGTCGTCGTTGCCATCGCCGTCGTCATCGTCGCGATAACGGTCGTCAGCGTCGTCGTCGTCATTGTCGCCGTTGCAATCGTCGTCACCACTGTCACCGTGATGATCGCCATCGCGGCGACGGCACACAGACTACACTGACGACGGCGACGGTGTTTGTTGGGTAGCGATTCCGATCGCTGGCATGGGTAGCGATTCCGATCGCTGGCATGGGTAGCGATTCCGATCGATGGCATGGGTGACGATTCCGACCGCTGGCATTTGCACATATCATAGCCATTTGGTGGCTCACGAGGGCGCGCCCGCCCGCCAGCGCCTGCGCCTGCGCCGACGCCAGCGCCGACGTCAGCACCGACGCGAGCGCCAACGCCAGCGCCGACGCCAGCGCCTGCACCAGCACCGTCAGCCATGGCCATGGTCGATGAGACCAAGTCGGAGGCGGAGGAGGAGTGGTACAGGGTGAAGTGCCTTTTAGACAAGTGCGGGAAGGTGGCATACAAGTCCTCGCACGACTTGTGCGTCGAATGGCTCGACAACCACCTGCAGAGTAGCATTGTGGAGTCGCACAAGTTCTACCAGGGCGAGCCCGACACGGAGGGCCACGCGCGGCGCGAAGAAGTCCTCATGGCGATCCTCGAGGACAAGATGCCGTCTGAGGAGGTGCGGGAGTGGAGGAAGTACGAGGGCCAGAAGGAGAAGGAGAAGGAGAAGGTCACCGCTGGGCGCGGCAGTGGCAGCGCCGCCCCCGCCGTCGCCTCTGGGCGGCGCGACCGCCGCAGGTCGCGCAGCCGCCGCCGCGGCGAGCACCGCGCCGAGCTCTCGCGCCGCCGCCGCGGCGAGCGCCCCGAGACGCCGCCGCGCCGCGGGGCGCCGCCGCCGCTCCCGAGCCACCCGCCGCCGCGCTCGGACGGCTCGAGCACGCGCGAGGCTCTGCTGAAGACGGCCGAGGTGCTGCAGGAGACGGTGCAGAGCGTGGCGGCAATCGTGCACTCGAGCAGCAAGGCACCAGGACCTTCGTCGGCGATGTCGCTCGTCATGGCGCCAATGGCGGGCGGCACTGCTGCATCATCGGTGGCCATCTCGTCGGCGAGCTGCAAGGCGGCAGCGGCGACGACGACGACGAGCAGGGAAGCGATGGTGATCGCTGACGGGGGGATGGGCGACGACGCACGCGCGACATGACGACGACGTTGGCGACGAGGATGGCGACGGCGACGACGACGCCGACAACGACGATGACGAGGCGACGGTGGCGGCGACGATGCAAGGCGGTGATCGACTGCATCAAGCGGGCGGAGGCATGTGCCAGCACGGCGGCGGACGCGCGCGCCAAGGCGGCCGCCGCGTTCCGCGCCGAGTCGCAGTCCCTGGCGTCGGCGAGGGCAGACGTGGAGGCAGCGCTGGCGAACGCGACGAGGTCGAGCTGACGGTCTGGCGGGTGAGCCGCCGTCCGCGGGCGGAGTGCAGGCCGCGCGCCCCGCCCGCGCCGCGCGCCCCGCGCGGCCCGCGGCCCTTCGCGGGGGCGCGGCCCGCGCCTCGCGCGGCCCGCGCCCCGCGCGCCCCGCGCCCCGCGCGGCCCGCCCGCGTGCCCGCTGGAGAGCGCGGGCATCCGTTGCATAAGAGTAAAATAGACAGCGATGGGGATCGATCGGGCGAGTAGAAGGGGATATGCGATGTAGCGATGGTGATCGCTTGGGCGAGGATGATGGGGATTGGGTAGCGATGGCAATCGCTCGGGGAGGGATGGGTGTCAAGGCGGGTGGGGGTGGTGCGGATGCGTTGTTTGTATGTTACGTCGGTATCGTTCCTGCTGTGGGCGGGGCGGGGAGCTGGCATGAGGAGGAGGATGCGGATGTGTAGCGATGGCGATCGCTGTTGGGCTTTGGAGAAGTAGCGATGGCGATCGCTTTTGGGCTTTGGGGAAGTAGCGATGGCGATCGCTTTTGGGCGTTGGGGAAGTAGCGATGGCGATCGCTTTTGAGCACTGGGGAAGTAGCGATGGCGATCGCTCGTTGGAGGAAGACGAGAACCATGATGGGGTAGCGATGCCAATCGCTTGGGTAAGTGGGTAAGTTCCGTAAGTGACTTAAGTAGCACCCATTGTTATCCTTTTGTTATCCTTTTGTTATCATTTGTTATCCTTTTGTTATCCTGGGATCAGGGCCGATAGGATAACAAAAGGATAACAAAATGATAACAAGGGTCAAATAGGATAACAAAAGGATAACAAAAGGATAGCATGTTATCCTATTTGACCCGTGTTATCCTTTTTGTTATCTTTTTGTTATCCTTTTGTTATCCTATTTGACCCTTGTTATCCTTTTGTTATCCTTTTGTTATCCTATCGGACCACGATCCCAGGATAACAAAATGATAACAAAGGATAACAAAAGGATAACAAAAGGATAACACGGGGTGCTACTTAAGTCAGTTATGCCACTTAGGCGAGCAAGTAACTTAGCGATGATGATCGCTGACGCATAGAGGCCCCGCGCTTACTGATGTCAGCCTCGTGCGGATCAAGCGCGCCCGTTAGCGGGCCCCTCGCGCGGGGCGCGTCCACGCCCAGGCAACCAAGCAACACCAAGCGATGGCCGACGCTGCGGCCAGCGACGCGGAGACGCTGCGTCTCGCGGGCCCAGGCGGCGAGGTCAGCGACGCCGTCGTCGTCGTCGTCGTTGTCGTCGTCTTCGTCGCCGTCGCCGTCGGCGTCGTCGTCTCGGCGAGGTCAGCGACGCGGAGACGGTGCAGCTCGCGGGCCCAGGTGAGGGAGAGATCCAGGAGGCGCTCATCCAAGAGTTGGGCTTGGGCGCCGAGGGGGCGCCGCGATCCGATGGTGGTCCATCCGCGGCGCCGCCGCCATCCGACGGTGGTCCATCCGCGGCGGCGCCGCCATCCGATGATGGCCCATCCGCGGCGGCGCCGCCATCCGAGGCGCCAGAAGATGAGGAGGCTGATGAGGAGGAGGGCGCATCACGGGCCGCGCCCAGGAGGCCAGCCGCTGCCACCAAGCCAGCTATGAAAGCCAGCTATGAAGACGGGGAAGGCCCGCGCTAAGGAGAAGCAGCTGCCGTGGCCAAGGAGAAGGCCCGCGCTAAGGAGGAGGTGAAAGCAGCCGCCAGGGAGAAGGCCGAGGCCGTGGCCAAGGCAAAGGAGGCCGCCAGGAACAAGGGGACGGGATGCGCCGACATCGCGAGCTTCACGCGGCCGACGGTCGCAACGTCGAAGGGCGCGGCGCCGCCACCGCCGAAGAGGGCGTCCGCGGAGGCGAGCGGAGGCCCCCCGCAGGCCGCCGCGTCGGCGAGCGCGAAGCCGAAGGGCGCGAAGCAGCAGGGCGTGCCGCCGAAGGCGAAGGGCGCGCCGCCGAAGGCGACGGAGGCGGTGTCGCCGCCGAAGGCGAAGGCGGCGGGCACGGCAACCGAGGATGACGGCTGGGGCGAGGACGCGTCGGGCGCCAAGTGGAAAGTCGGGGCGTTCGCCCTGAACAGCAGCCCGAGCAAGAGGTCGCAGCAGCTGTGTTTGGAGGAAGCAGACAGAGCCTACTTGTGCGACCGATGCCAGCAACCATGCGACGTTGTGAAGGCATACCCCGTCCGCGTCACCAAAAAAGGACAAGTG